AAAACATTGTGTCCCACTGCTATGCTCTGTTGCCTTTCCTCATTATGCACACTGCAGTTAGAATTAAGCTTACAACAGTTTAGAACCTTTAATACCCTGGAGGAAAATTGGTCAATATAGCATTACATCATTTTAAACATATTGTGTGACATATGCTGATGGTAAAGATTAGACCATTTATATCCACCTAACTGAAAAGTGCAAACAGTATATTAAGGTTGATATGTTTACAGAACTACACAGCTTTCCTGCCCAATACTGCTGTTTAGGATATTTTTTTTTTTTTTTAAGTGATAGAATTTCAAAGCAGTCATAAATTAGTTTATTTAGAGTATTGGTGTTTTACATGGAACAAGTGATCTATTAAATATTTAGGTAGTAATCAGACAGCAGATATATCTAATCTATAAGAAGAAAACTATACCTCACTCTTTCAAATGATAAAGGGTGATCTGACAGGCTGAAGCTTCTAAAGATGGTTGTATTGCCAAAAATTTTATTTACTATACAGATGATACCTATCCGGCTTCCAAACTCATTCTTTGTTGATATTCAGTGGATTTTTACAGATTTGGTGAAAGGCAAATCCTAGGTTGGTCTATTATTTCCTTACGAGGTCTAAACTCGATGGATGATTAGGTTTCCCCAATCTGAGGAATTATTAAAGGGCAATAACTTTAAATAGAATCCACAGATGGAGATACCACGCCACTCAAAAAAATTGGTGTCTCTGGAGGGGACAATGGCAGACCGTAATTTGGCCTGCGCCCCCTGGGACCCTCAATCATACAGAGGACTATCTTTGTCTACCTCTTTTCTTACTACTCATAGTTTGAAGCTTGGGGATCTAACTAATAAAGAGGAAGCCTCTCTCCTTCAATATCTCGCTTACTACCACTGGATGGTTTCTGCTGGTTCCCCTGGGTGAGTCCCCGTCTTTTTTTAAATCTTGGGCGATAGAATGGGGACACCAACAGTCTAAAGTTAACCACTTCAAATCCAACCCATGTACATAAACGGCTGAACGGGAGCAGTGCTGGAGCGGGTGCCAGTTTATAAATGTCCTCCCGCTTCCCTGCCTGTGCGCACTCCCTGTGAGTGCTTGGCACCGCTATCTGGTGCCCGCTGTGTCCTAAGATCGATGTACAATACCTCTGTGTGCGGTTCTGATCATGTCATCACTGATTGGCCAATCAGTGATCACATGAATAGTAGTAAGCAAGATTTCACTTCTGACATCATTGCTTACTTCTTGTGAAATCTGTGAATGATCATAGAGGTCACATGGTACAAGGCTATTCACAACAGCCTTGTACCATGTGACAAGCTGTGACCAATCACAGCTCTCATAGTATTTCTCAATGGCTGCAAGAATGCAGTCAGAGAGAAGGAGAAATTATTGCTTTTATAGCCTTTATGGGTGTAAAACAATCAGTGTAAAAAAAAAAAAAAAAAAAAAAAATCTTCATCACCCCCCACAAGTAGTACAGTGCCACTATTGTGACACTGTACTGCTAGAGTGACAGTATGTTAAAAAACATAAACAATAATATAAAAAAATAACAAAAATGTAAAACAAAAATTTTGGAAAATAATAATTTTTGGTTATAAACTAATTTGGGTACATTTCGTTTTTACTAAAAAGATAGCTGAATACATTTTGGCCATGATTTCTGAAGAAAGAATGTTTATTTGCAAAATTTTATAAGAAAAACAAATTTTTTTTCAAAATGTTTGGACTTTCATTTATATAGCAAAAAAATAAAAATCCCAGTGGTGAATAAATACCACCAAAATAAAGTTTTATCTGTCTCAAAAAAATGCAAAAAAATGAATATAGGTACAATGTTGCATGACCGTGCAATTGTTATTCAACGTGTGATAGCACTGAAAACTGAAAATTGGCCTGGACAGGAAGGGGGCTGAAAGTGTCCGGACTTGAAGTGGTTAATTTGGGATGGATGAGGATGCCAGCTGGGGAGACTCAGGGAGGCATATGATAGGTTCCCATTGGATTCCTGGAGATATCAGCAATTACAACATTTCTGTATCACCCATCTGAGGGATATTGGCGCTGCAAACTCTCTCACTAGCTTTGAATCTCTATTACTAAAGCTGCCCATTGACAAAGGTTTGTTATCCATCTCTTATAAATTATTAAACAAACATGATGCCGTTATAGGTCTCAGATGCCTTAGTGAATTGGAAACAGAGTTAGACTGCCCCTCTACAGATTTACAGAAATGTAATATGTTAAGACTGACATATACAGTCAGGTCCATAAATATTGGGACATCAACACAATTCTAACATTTTTGGCTCTATACACCACCACAATGGATTTGAAATGAAACGAAAAAGATGTGCTTTAACTGCAGAATCTCAGCTTTAATTTGAGGGTATTTACATCCAAATCAGGTGAACGGTGTAGGAATTACAACAGTTTGCATATGTGCCTCCCACTTGTTAAGGGGCCAAAAGTAATGGGACAGAATAATAATCATAAATCAAACTTTCACTTTTTAATACTTGGTTGCAAATCCTTTGCAGTCAATTACAGCCTGAAGTCTGGAACGCATAGACATCACCAGACGCTGGGTTTCATCCCTGGTGATGCTCTGCCAGGCCTCTACTGCAACTGTCTTCAGTTCCTGCTTGTTCTTGGGGCATTTTCCCTTCAGTTTTGTCTTCAGCAAGTGAAATGCATGTTCAGTCGGGTTCAGGTCAGGTGATGGACTTGGCCATTGCATAACATTCCACTTCTTTCCCTTAAAAAACTCTTTGGTTGCTTTTGCAGTCTGCTTTGGGTCATTGTCCATCTGCACTGTGAAGCGGCGTCCAATGAGTTGTGAAGCATTTGGCTGAATATGAGCAGATAATATTCCCGAAACACTTCAGAATTCATCCGGCTGCTTTTGTCAGCAGTCACATCATCAATAAATACAAGAGAAGCAGTTCCATTGGCAGCCATACATGCCCACGCCATGACACTACCACCACCATGCTTCACTGATGAGGTGGTATGCTTAGGATTATGAGCAGTTCCTTTCCTTCTCCATACTCTTTTCTTCCCATCACTCTGGTACAAGTTGATGTCGGTCTCATCTGTCCATAGGATGTTGTTCCAGAACTGTGAAGGCTTTTTTAGATGTAGTTTGGCAAACTCTAATCTGGCCTTCCTGTTTTTGAGACTCTCCAGTGGTTTACATCTTGTGGTGAACCCTCTGTATTCACTCTGGTGAAGTCTTCTCTTGATTGTTGACTTTGACACACATACACCTACCTCCTGGAGAGTGTTCTTGATCTGGCCAACTGTTGTGAAGGGTGTTTTCTTCACCAGGGAAAGAATTCTTTGGTCATCCACTACAGTGGTTTTCCGTGGTCTTCCGGGTCTTTTGGTGTTGCTGAGCTCACCGGTGCGTTCCTTCTTTTTAAGAATGTTCCAAACAGTTGTTTTGGCCACGCCTACTGTTTTTGCTATCTCTCTGATGGGTTTGTTTTGTTTTTTCAGCCTAATGATGGCTTGCTTCACTGATAATGACAGCTCTTTGGATCTCATCTTGAGAGTTGACAGCAACAGATTCCAAATGCAAATAGCACACTTGAAAATGAACTCTGGACCTTTTATCTGCTCATTGTAATTGGGATAATGAGGGAATAACACACACCTGGCCATGGAACAGCTGAAAAGCCAATTGTCCCATTACTTTTGGTCCCTTAACAAGTGGGAGGCACATATGCAAACTGTTGTAATTCCTACACCATTCACCTGATTTGGATGTAAATACCCTCAAATTAAAGCTGACAGTCTGCAGTTAAAGCACATCTTGATCGTTTCATTTCAAATCCATTGTGGTGGTGTATAGAGCCAAAAATGTTAGAATTGTGTCGATGTCCCAATATTTATGGACGACTGTACCTCCCCTATCTGTACCAAAATACAATAGACTAATTATATACTTATGTCAAGGAGGTATAGGGTCCCATAGATGTTTGCTCTTGGTATCCCTCAGTCTAGGACAAGTATTGACAAGGTTGTGGTTTACAGGGATCTCATCTCCACATATGATGGGATTGTCTCAAGATTAGGCCGTTTTGGGCCAAGATCAAGAATTTAATATTCAAAATTACTACTGTTTTCATCAGGATGGCCCTATACAGAGCCTTTCCATGGCAATTCCAGCTCTATTAAGCCTTATAAGAGTATAGTCCCACATTTGTTAGATACTGCTAAGGGTTAATCCAGGCTTTGTGAAAAAAGCCATATATGCCTTCTATAGTGCAGTGGACAAAAAAAGTGGAAGCTGAGAAATGGATGCATATTTATAGAAAAACCGAATTGAAAGTTCCAGGCTAAGTGGGAACCCTGGTTACATTATATAAACTGCACAAAGAATGGGAGCTAAACAATTAAAACATTTCATTTTTGCTAATTGACACATTTACTTTGTTTGGAAATTTTAATTCCATTGTGTTGGTAATTTAAGGACTATCACACCTATCCCTCCTCCCCTCTTTCTTTTTTTTGTGTGTACTTTATTCATGTACAGGATAATAGCTATATGTCATTTACTTTCGGCTAAAGTTTGTATCTCTGGCTGGGTTTTGTGGGATGTACTGAAGTATAGCTTTTCTTGTCCTTCTGGAACGTGGGTTTTTTTCCACTTCTTTTTGTTCTTGATTATTCCTGTGTTTGTATACTTAAGGAAAAAAAAAATTACGTTTAAAAAAAAAAAAGTACCAAGAAAGGTTATTTGAATATTTTTGTAGTTTTTTTGGATATCAGCATGAATAGCACTTAAACTATAAATTTAAGTGATATTAAAGGTAAATTTTTTAAAAATAATAAACATGTTATACATTACTTACCTGCTCTGTGCAATGGCTTTTAACAGAGCAAGTTGATCCTCGAGCTGCTTGCTCTGGGGTCACTCATGAGTGCTCTCTTCTGAGCCACCTCTATGTGCCTATAAAACACACAGAGCACTGCTTGGCCCTCCCACCTCACTGGCGGTGATTAACAGCAGTGGGAGCCAATTGTTCAGCCAATGAGGAGGGAGAGACCTGGGAGCAGGGGCGGACTGACCATTTGGAGGGCCCGGGGTCAGTAGGGGGCCCCATGAGATGTCCCTGGTACCTTTTTCATAGGCTTTTTTTAGTTTGGGCAAGGACACAGGGGCCCCATGATCCCCTATTGCCTGGGGGCCCCATGAGTTGTCAGTCCGCCCCTGCCTGGGAGCTGCTGCTCTCGTGCATATCGCTGGTTCAAGATGGGGCTCTGGTAAGTATTAGGGGGGCTGGGAGGGATGCTGCACACAGAAGGTAATTTTTACCTTCATGGATAGTATTCATGAAGGTAATAAACCTTCAACCTTTACAGCTACTTTAAACTTCATCTGATTACAAATAAAGACACTCGTATTAAACAAACCGCACACAACAATATTCTATACTGCTTTATTGAACGAATAGCACTTTAATCAATAGGGGCCATTGATGGAACAGGTTTATACGCTCATGTTTGGTAACTATAGCTACTAATCAGACCTGCACAACAAGGTGGTACCTTTTCCATTCCTGCTACACCATTATACTCCAGCAGATTAGTTTTTGCTGTTGATGTGTAGTTTTATTCCAAATATCATGATGTGTATATATTGAAAGAAAGATATTGTAAAAAAAGCATCAACGTTTGTCTCATGGGCACATATTTGTTGAAATTCTGACTGCAGGATTCCATTTTTACAATTGCAAATATCTACCTATCCAATATACTGTATCTCAGATGAAACATTGCATACACTACCTTACTGCACAAAAACATTTTGCAGAAGGTTATATAATGTTAGCTGCAGATTTCAACCTCCCTTTATACTTGATACAAGATACATTCAATAGGAGATGTAGCCTTAGGGTGGCTATACATGGATCCAAATTCGACTGGTTCAGCAGGGACTGGCCAAATTTGTATCCATGTACAGGCAGGCTGGTTGTACAGAAGTCGAACTACAGATCGATTCTGTACAGCCAGCTTCTTAGGTTTTTCCCAAATGATCAGTGCTGTCAGCTATAGCCAGCAAAAATGATCACTGTGTTCTGACAGCGACCAAGGCTCTCCTCCGTCAGAATACAATAGCACAGCAGGAGCGATTCCCCCATCCACATCGAGTGTGTGGATTAGTGAATAGGATAATTTTTTTGCTGCTGATTGAAAGAAAAAAAAAGATTAATGTATGTCCAGCTTTAGACTTAAAAACCTTCTAAAGTTTAAATGTAAACTAGCTCAGGTATAGTTGCTTGACTTATGGCACATTCTACACCATACAGATAGGGACTGCTCCTACTATTTGACAGTCCATTGCAGAATCGACTACATATTTGTGATTCAACAACTCCTCAATGCACATCCAACTGCCATTATTGGCCCTAAAGTGTGGTTGGACCACTCCCTTTTTTTTGTAGTTTTGCCCTTCATGACTCCAATCTGAAGTCCATCTTGAGGAGATTGGATGATAATTTATTTTAAGATGAGGTTTATATGGTTGAGATCAAAAAGACTATTGGGGACTTTTATCTTACTAATTCTGCCAATGACGCTTCTCCCCCAATTCAGTGGGAAGCTATAACATGTGCTCTTCGTGGACTATTAATCTCTCATTGTTCACGTCTTATAAATATACTTGCAACAGAAATAGATGATCTGTTACACAAACTCACTATTCTAGAAACAAAATACAGTACCATGGGCTCTGTATTTATTCATGCGGAAATTACTGAAAAAATTAAGACTAGCCTTGGGCTTAAAAGTAAAGAAACCTAGGATAGCAGCTAGAAATAAACAATTTACCAATTGTATAAATTAATTAGTGAGATTCTTGTAAAAAGGACCACCTACCAAGGGCTAATAGTCTTTTTTGCCCTCAGTGCCCTTGCCTTTTCATTGCTCTTTCGATCTGGGCTTTTCAAAACGCTTAGTTCAACTGCAGCTTGCCTCTTGGTTGTCTGCATTAGTGGGGATGGTATTGTGATGTTGACTACTATGCTGAGCTTTGGGTTTGAACTGAATGTACATTCAACTTGAAGCCAGCCTGTTCTGGGTTCAGGGTATCTCCCAAAAAAACTAGCCATATTTAGCTAGTTTGCCTGCCTGAATTGCTGGCTTCTAGAATGTAAGCAAAGCAGCAGGGAATCCTGGGCGACATCACTGACTGCAGTGCTGGGGATTCTGTTATTTGAGTCAGGAGTGCAGTGAGGAAACATAATTGTACATTTGGTCATCGTGGAAGAAAATATTTTCAGGTGACAAGGAAACATTGTTATGTGGCAGGTTGTCATGATTGATGATGGATTACATTGCTGAATTACATGATTAACAATGGCTTTGCATCACAGGACATTTTTTCTAAATGTTTTCTCTGTAATTTTACTGAAATCATTTTCTAACAATGTCGGCATGTCATTTACACTTCCACTTTTTGGGAATGTGCAATGAGGGGTACAAATGTACCCTTGTACTCATTCCCCTTGGGGAGATACCTGGGTGGCCCACATATTCCTTTATATCCATATTCCTAAGAGATTCCCCCCACACACCTCCACATCCTTTTGAGGACAGATAATGGGGAAGAGTCCCTCAAAATTAGAGCAAGGTGCATTGCAAGGGTGTGAAGGCTTTGCTGCTCTCCTTGGAAGACATTCCTCAGTGTTGGCAGGCATGTGGGTAGTATGGTACAGTAAGGGGAGCCACATGCTCACTTCTCTCCCTCTCATGGCCACCCAGGCTACTAGCCCTAAATAAGGGTCTGCTTATAATTTTAGGTGGAAACTCTTGCCATTTTTGTCTTTATTTACTTTTTTAATGTGGCAGCACACCTAAAAATTAATAAATAAAGTGTGATCACCTTCTTACACCATACCAACCACATGCCTGTCATCACTGCGGGGAGGGCCATTTTCCTACTAATTGCCAAAAGAATATTGAGGTTTGTGAAAGGGGGGGGGGGGGCTCTCTCAGGACAAGAGCAAACAAAAAAAAAGGAAAAAAGGCAGTGTGGGGTTCTCTTAAAATCAGACCCCTATTTAGGCATGAAGCAAACATGCCCCCCCTTTATGTACCATAACAGGCCACTTTCTTTCAATATTAGGGGGGGACCTTGCAAGGTGGAGGACAGCAAAAAACCTCTCCACAGTAAACATTTTTTTAAAATACCGACCTACCCATGTCTTTTTTACAATAGCTTGCAAATTAGCCTTGAAAAAGGCCAGAGGAAATTACAAGGTTTGCATTCTATATACTTCAAAAGGGTTCAGCAATATGTTTGGGGTTTGTAGATGTCTAGGTTCATACAATGAGACTGTGAAATAGCTATTTCTATGCATCTCCATGTACCTGAGAGATATCAAGGGTGTACTGCATGCAAAATCATCACCCCATGTGCAATGTATAGCAGAAGATGCAGGGTATTTGCAATGTAGCTGCCACCATAACTACACTTCCTCAGATCAAAATTTTTAAAAAGGACATCAGGGTTGCACATTACCATGGAAACCAAAAATATTACTGGTTAATTTAACAAACATAGTAGATAATTTTAAATACAGGAGTTTGTGTTGCCAAGTAATGGTTTTAATGTATGACCAGATTTTAGATTCAAAGAGCAAATCCAGATGACCCACTACACTAATCAGTGAGTTTATAATGCTTTCCAGCAAACAATGGTGTCACGGAAACCATCTTGGGCTTCTGGAGGGGCCAGCCTCCTTCCCACCGACTATGGACCCAAGACTTAGTAGACCCCCCCTCTTGGGGTTACAAGGAACATTTTCCCCAAGAGGGTTACATAACTTCCCTGGATACCTGGCTGGTCATGAATTATACTAGCTACCATTTGCATGCAATTAGGGCTGGAGGGACTGTTTCTGGCACCCTTTGACATTATCTTATATTATTATGGAACTGTTATCCTGGAACTATGTATTATGTGCAGGGGGTGAATTCAAGCATGTGTGGGGTTAGGAAACTCTATTTTTCTGTTACAGGTTTCCTGGCATCAACTATTGTTTGCTGTAATTAGGATTAGGTGATAAGCTCTCACTTTGTTTAATCACCTCTAGAGTCCAGACTACTAGGTTCCGGGAAGGAATCCATTGTTTTCTTCTGTTTGATTTTTTATTTGTTTGTGTAATGTAATTTTCTCCCAACACTTGTACTGTGTGCCATACCTGTCTAGGGGGGATATAACTGGGGGTATAACTGCTGTGCTGTTTGTTAAAGAAAGACAGTCCTGTTTTACTCCAACATTGGTTCTGCCTGATGCATGGGGTAACTTTGCTATATTCTGGTTTCAGAGTGGAGGAAGCTGTAGTTCAGTGGAGATACCCAGTTTGGGTGTCAGGCAGTCTGTCACAAACAGTTTTAAATTTAGGAAGGTCACTTGATGTTCCATAATCTATATTATCTGCGATCCACATAGTATTGGGCTCTCATCCATTCCCTCCAGAAGTTCATTGGGAGCGTAGCTCCTAAAGCATAAGATGTAAAGCTTTGAAACTCTGTACCACCAGTCACACTTTGGATTTCCAATGTAGGTTAGCATTTGATTGGTGCACTACAACTATGCATAGATTTAAAAAACATTATGCACTAAGCAGGTAAGCCTTTGTATGAAACTCGATGCTTCATTTTTAAGATTGTCTGGATTGTACCTATTAAAACTCTGGGAAATTTACCATTACCTACAGCGGTTTGATTTTTTAATATAGGAGTTGAAATGATTGATCTAAAAATGTACGCGGATGGCTACCTGAAGAAAGTACACAAGCAAGATTGTATGTATCATCTTATTTGCTGTATTGATGTATCTCTAAAAAAAAATATACAATATACTGTAAACACAGTTTAATAGCACAATGATGTCATATCATTTGTTTCACTTTTATTAAAGTTTCCGCTCAAAACATTTTTTTTCCATCTCTTCTAACATTCTGCTAAAACTTTTTGATTTGTATAGTACTGCTTGGACCTTGAAGAAGGGGGCATACCCCGTAAGCTTGTCCTCAAAATTGTATGTTAGTGCAAATAAAAAAAGTATCACGGAAAGTACTCAATTGTTTCTGTCACAAATGCACTAATACGGCTACAATCACCTTAAGCAAAATAGAAAATACTGCATATAGCCGCATAAAGAAGCAGTAACCAACCTAATCACAAAGGAAACACAGATCAACAGTGATATTTTCTTTCTCTCAAGATGCAAAAAGAGGAATCTCATACCACAAGGCCTCCGGATTAAAAACCCTTGCGTAAATACAATCAACTCTCC